TAATTAGTCAATTGATGTCTGCTGCGTTAATGTTTAATGTCTTCGGCAGCCTTTACAGCAGCCACCTGGACAATTTCCACCTCGGCATCCACGGCATCCACAACACCCTCCACGGCATTTAGGGCATCCACCAGGACAGCCAGGACAACCACTGTTTGCTGCTGCTGCTGGTTCTGGAACTGGACCTGCAATAACTGAAATCACAAAACAACAAAACACCACAATTAAATACTCAGTCATTACTCGCTTCATACATTCACCCACCCACTCACTCACTCACACTCACTCACTGACCCACTGACTCACTGACTCACTCTATCACCAACTCAGTCACTCCTTCATTCATTGTCTCATCAACTAAGGTAGCATGTAATGACATCATTTCTACTGAGTGAATGTGTTATTTGTCTGTCTGCATTGTCTATCTCTTCTCTTATGTCAACGAGTGATCATGGTCATGACGTGATGTTGATGATGACGTGGAGTAGGAAGAGGAGCAGGAGAGGAGGAGACGCAGGAGGAAGACTTACCTCCCATTTCGAATCCCAGTGATGCAACGAGTACAACTAAGACGAGCTGAAATGAAAATGCCCATCAGGAAGGAAGGCATACAATATTATACAACCAGAGTATTCTAACATACAGTGAACATCTGCATTGTCGTTTACTGTGAAGAACTGTTTACTGTCAACTTGAAGCTGACTACTCACATACACCGTGCTTTTTATACTCCTCGAAGTTAACCTGTCGAGCGAACCCGTGGTCACACTCGAAGTCAGCTGATCAGTAATCAATCAGCAGAATCAATGAGTACGCGTAATGTGAAATGGTTTGATTGATATGCTCACTCGAACGATCGACCGATCACTCGTTTGGAAGATCGATGACTTGTTCACCAGGTGGCTGAATCGCTCACTCGCCTGCCTGGCAGTTCGTTTTTCCCTTTCACCTATTCACTATGTGATGAATAAATAAGTCATCCTTGTATTTGCGACTCAGTCCGTCATTACATCTGGTTTGTTGATTGGTTGGTTGGTTCGTCCGTCCCTCCGTCCGTTGGTTGATTAGTTCGTCAGCTCGTTGGTTATTCATTTAGTTGGTGGGTCGATGCATGTGTCTTGATCCCCACTTTGGAATAGCTTCAATTGATTGATTGACTGGTTGACTGACATGCATAAATTGGAAAGCACTCTGCATTCTGCAATTCTTAAATGCAAACTCTGCTTAGTCGGCGTTATTCGGCGGACAAAGCGAGATAGCTGGCTAGCTCGCTGTGCGAAAATTCTCAGCGAAATCTGGGAACAGACAGTCTTATTAATTCTAGTATAAATCAGATGCATTCCTGAGCTGTGAATCAAACTCACATTCACACACATACACACACATTGACTGCTCTGTCGCTTCCTCTCTACATCTCACATTCATCGACAAGCTATTCACACACTCACCACATCCTTCCTATTCTCTGTCTCTGTTTCAAACCCCGTCTCCCCTCTCTATGTCTCTTGAATTCATCGTAGTTATGCATCAACTTGTAGGCACTGAAGATGCACAATGAAGATTCACATTGATGTGGAGAAATATTTGACAAGATAATGTGTGAAGATGATGAGTGAGTAGAAGTAAGAACAGTTGAATTGATTGGTTGATTGATTGATTGATGTAATGGGTGAAATGCTTCCTGGATGAATAAAATCGAAACATCATTCACGCTGCTGCTGCAGCTGCATTTATACAATGATGGTTTCGTTCTGTCATGTGTGTATAGTATAGTATTGCTGCTGGCTAATCAATGCCTGGCACACCACAGAAAGTAGACAAGTGAGTGAGTGAGTGAGAGAATGAACGAGCGAGCGATTCGAGGTCCTGCATAGTTGCACATATCCTGATATGAATGTGTATGTGTATGTGTGTGTATGTGTGTTTGTATGTACATTTATTATGTAATATCTATCTTTCTATACATATGCATAAGCGTAGGGTATTTAAATAAACAGGATATTTCTTACTCTTTTGTAGTTAGTAGATCTTCAGTAGAATCGGTCCGAAGTGTGTACTAGTCACATTCGGTTTCATAGGCAGGATGACAAGACACGAGGGAGAAGAGAGATTCTATGTAGTAGAAATTAGTCGTGTGGTAGGAGAATAGTGTGCGAAATTCACACCAGAGAACGGGAATTCGCGAAGATCGAAATACAACTACCCTTTAAATACAATTTCCATTCATTCATTCAAAAATATCATTAATAATAACAATAACGGTAATAATCAGACAGCGGGCCTGGTAGTAATGCGTTAATTAATTAATTAACATATTTATTAATTAATTAATTAATTCAAACAATTTTTCCGTTGGATAAATTTGTATAAGGCATTACGAAGACAAATCTCTCGAGATGATATCATTTCGTAGTTTCTTTTTAACCACTTCACAACTCACATTGTTAACAATAATAAAATTAAGTTCATGACAATTACTCAGTTAAATAAAACAAAAGTATATATGAATGACCAATCATATTTAATAGGTCATGTAGTCCATGGTAGGCGGAGATTGAAGTCTATTGTTTTTTGTGCACACAGTTTAGGCTGTATGTGATTAATCCAACGTGCTTCCATCACCTTCAATAACCTTGAATTAGAGTTATGTGAAATAATTGTGAAACAGTCATTAATATTGATTTTGTGACCTGACATTAATAAGTGTTTTGCAATGGATAATGCTGGATTTCTATTCAGATTACTCGCATAGGGATTTTCTATATGATTTAGTAGCCATTTTGGAACATGTTCTTTCCGACGACATTGGAACATTCTGTTGGTTCTACATATATAGGTGTCACCGCAGCTGCAGGTGAACTTGTAGATACAGTTTGAAGTAGAGTCCACAGAATTTCGTCCTTTGATCGAAGGTACAGGGATCGAAAATGTTCGGCAAGTGAGAAAAAGAGATGCGTCGTAGAATGTGCGTTTGATGGCTGACCGAAGTCTTTGAGCTGTCAGCTGCATAATCTGGTCACCCTTGAATGGTAGGTTAATGAAGATAGCTTTCTTTGGTACAGAAGCTGTCTTTTCGAGATGTGGTCTTTCTTTACCGTGACAAGTGATAAAGTTTTCCGGATAACCATTAGCTAATGAAACTGAATGTATATGTCGAAACTCATCCATCACTGTGTCACTCGTGCATATTATTCGGGACCTTGACAACAAATATTTCACTAGGGAACGTTTATACTAGAAAGGAAAAAACTGGTCAAATGCAGATATTGTCTACTCCATGTCTGTTTAAAAAATACGCAATCTGTGCCTACGGAATGTTATTCTCACATGTTCCCACAGTTCAATTCGACATTAGCAACAGAATACGATGTATCTATTTGAACATTCTATTTGATGTTAGAGACAGAATACTTTCCCCCACAGATCAATACTGCATTGGCAGGAACAGAATACGATGTATCTATTTGAACATGCTATTTTTTGCCGTTTGATGTAAACCGAAATGACACGCTCAGTGATTGGTCAACGAATATAAACTGAACATATATAAACAGCGGTCTGATCAATGAAAATATACCTTGGCTTCAGTGTCTTACCTCCTGCTGTTAGAAAACGATCATCATTGAAGATCGTTGTAATGACTATTAATATTAATTTTATAATTACTGCAATTTTTGTAAGTATAGTGGAGGCGGTGGTGATGGTGTGCGATATTCGCATTGCGAATACCACCCATCACACTCATTTTCCTCATGTGCCATTGACTGAGCCAATCTATCTACGACGAATTGACTAGGATTCGTAGAATGAATCCCGAATGGCAGGACCTCGAATCGCTCGCTCGTTCATTCTCTCACTCACTCACTCACTTGTCTACTTTCTGTGGTGTGCCAGGCATTGATTAGCCAGCAGCAATACTATACTATACACACATGACAGAACGAAACCATCATTGTATAAATGCAGCTGCAGCAGCAGCGTGAATGATGTTTCGATTTTATTCATCCAGGAAGCATTTCACCCATTACATCAATCAATCAATCAATCAATCAATTCAACTGTTCTTACTTCTACTCACTCATCATCTTCACACATTATCTTGTCAAATATTTCTCCACATCAATGTGAATCTTCATTGTGCATCTTCAGTGCCTACAAGTTGATGCATAACTACGATGAATTCAAGAGACATAGAGAGGGGAGACGGGGTTTGAAACAGAGACAGAGAATAGGAAGGATGTGGTGAGTGTGTGAATAGCTTGTCGATGAATGTGAGATGTAGAGAGGAAGCGACAGAGCAGTCAATGTGTGTGTATGTGTGTGAATGTGAGTTTGATTCACAGCTCAGGAATGCATCTGATTTATACTAGAATTAATAAGACTGTCTGTTCCCAGATTTCGCTGAGAATTTTCGCACAGCGAGCTAGCCAGCTATCTCGCTTTGTCCGCCGAATAACGCCGACTAAGCAGAGTTTGCATTTAAGAATTGCAGAATGCAGAGTGCTTTCCAATTTATGCATGTCAGTCAACCAGTCAATCAATCAATTGAAGCTATTCCAAAGTGGGGATCAAGACACATGCATCGACCCACCAACTAAATGAATAACCAACGAGCTGACGAACTAATCAACCAACGGACGGAGGGACGGACGAACCAACCAACCAATCAACAAACCAGATGTAATGACGGACTGAGTCGCAAATACAAGGATGACTTATTTATTCATCACATAGTGAATAGGTGAAAGGGAAAAACGAACTGCCAGGCAGGCGAGTGAGCGATTCAGCCACCTGGTGAACAAGTCATCGATCTTCCAAACGAGTGATCGGTCGATCGTTCGAGTGAGCATATCAATCAAACCATTTCACATTACGCGTACTCATTGATTCTGCTGATTGATTACTGATCAGCTGACTTCGAGTGTGACCACGGGTTCGCTCGACAGGTTAACTTCGAGGAGTATAAAAAGCACGGTGTATGTGAGTAGTCAGCTTCAAGTTGACAGTAAACAGTTCTTCACAGTAAACGACAATGCAGATGTTCACTGTATGTTAGAATACTCTGGTTGTATAATATTGTATGCCTTCCTTCCTGATGGGCATTTTCATTTCAGCTCGTCTTAGTTGTACTCGTTGCATCACTGGGATTCGAAATGGGAGGTAAGTCTTCCTCCTGCGTCTCCTCCTGCTCCTGCTCCTCTTCCTACTCCACGTCATCATCAACATCAGTCATGACCATGATCACTCGTTGACATAAGAGAAGAGATAGACAATGCAGACAGACAAATAACACATTCACTCAGTAGAAATGATGTCATTACATGCTACCTTAGTTGATGAGACAATGAATGAAGGAGTGACTGAGTTGGTGATAGAGTGAGTCAGTGGGTCAGTGGGTCAGTGAGTGAGTGGTGGTGAGTGAGTGGGTGGGTGAATGTATGAAGCGAGTAATGACTGAGTATTAAATTGTGGTGTTTTGTTGTTTTGTGATTTCAGTTATTGCAGGTCCAGTTCCAGAACCAGCAGCAGCAGCAAACAGTGGTTGTCCTGGCTGTCCTGGTGGATGCCCTAAATGCCGTGGAGGGTGTTGTGGATGCCGTGGATGCCGAGGTGGAAATTGTCCAGGTGGCTGCTGTAAAGGCTGCCGAAGACATTAAACATTAACGCAGCAGACATCAATTGACTAATTAAACAGAACACCTCATTATTCATACAAGCTTTCCTGCGTGAAGAAAATCCTGTCATCATTGATCTGAAGACGGTGGACAATGTGTACTTTTAGATAGATATCCTCTGTACAACTTACTAATAATAAATACACTTGCATTATCCAAATCACACCTTTCAGACTTCTTCTTTTTCACTCAATTGTCTGTCAATCAGCGAAGCTCTGATTCTCCCCTCCCGCTCACCGAAATTAGCATCGAACCATCTTGTGTAAATTCCTCTGTGTTTCAACCAGATACTTCGTTGCTTCATCGGTTGGTCATTTAGTCAGTGAGACAGTTCGTCAGGCTGTTGGCCAGTCGAGTAGGCGTGCAGTCAGCCAGTGTGAGAGAGAGAAAGCCAGTAAGTGGCTAAGTAAGGGAGGGAGGGAGTGAGTAAGTAAATGAGTGAGTGAGTCATGGAGGGAGTTGGTCAGCTAGGCAGTGAATGATGTGGCGTGTTGATTTCTGCCAGTTGAATTGAGGCATAAATCTCTGCTGAATGGAATTTAAAGCATACGAAAATATGATTCAGATATTCGGTCAAATAAACCAGCATCCATCAAAAATGGTCATTCAGCCATTCAGTAGTCAGGCAGGCAGGTGGGCAGTCAGTCAGTCAGTCAGTAAGCACGTAAGCACGTAATCAAGTCAGTAAAACAGTAATGGAGTAGGCCAGCAATCAAGCAAGCAAGTGATTATGCAAGTAACTACGTAATTAAATGTCCAGAGTTTTAACAGAGCACTTATTTCACTGAGTAATGATTGAGTGAATTAAGTAGGTGCTTGTTTTGTTGAACACGTCTTCAGCGAGTGATGTTCACGTGAACACACTACTCATTATCGCTTGTTTAGAGGCTGACGGTATTGACGTTCACGGATAGTACGAAGTATACTAACGCAAGATCTAATACCCACAACTTTCATAGAAACACAAGCATCCTACGAGTGGACGAAAAATAGTTATCCGAATCTTATATTGATTTTACACACTAATATCAGCCAAAATTACATTGACATAGCAGTCTACAAGAGAAAACTGTTGCAATGAATTTCGAAGTAGGGAGAATTTGTCTCAAGGGTGCTCTCATGTAAATATATATATATATAGTTTATATTCATTAATCAGTCACGGAGTGTGTGATTTTTGTTTACATCAAACGGCCAAAAATAGCATGTTCAAATAGATATATTGTTTTCTGTTGCTAATGGCGAATTGAACTGTGGGCATACGTGGGTATCATATTCCGTTGGAACACATTGTGTGATCAAATCGCCACAGTGTGATGCTCTACGGATGAGGTGGATGGATAAATAGTGTTAATGATTGCTGAGATAATGTTTAGGCTTTGTACCAGTGTCACTGAATACTTTTAACCGAATCAAAGCAGTGAATTTCGGAAATGTCGGGAAATGCGTATGTGACATCCAATATGGGTAACGATGTGTTACACCAGGAAGATGTCAACAGCAAAGTAGGTGCATACTCTTAACTAGTACAATGCCTATGCCACACCCGCTGTGTAGGTGATCCGAATATTCTTTATCTACACAGAAATAAGATGAAATATATTGCCGCACTACATAACGCGGATTCACACCAATCAGTCACTCCTAGTCAGATGTGATCCTAAAGTCAGATGGTCATGCTTATTAAGTACACAGTAACTAACTATCACCGTTCATTAGCTGATGATAAGAATGAAGAAAACATACGTGTCTTTGTTATTTACCCACGTAAATAAACACCGATTAATTTTAACACCGTCAATAGCCGTTAATCATCATGTATGTATTCATACTGTTACTGAGGTTATCTCACATATTGACACAGCGATTCTCGTTGAGGAATGCTCATATTCACCATAGAATGCTTCATTCTACACAATAACAGTGAATAATGTGATGATGGCTTGCGGTTGGACACTGCATTCAACAAATGATATTCCACATAGTCCATACCTCAGAACACGACACAGATTAATGGACGCGTACAGTTGAATGACATTTATTGACATGAGACCAATGGAAAAATTTACCACTTGAACGTCATCAATCGAGTTATCCATACTACCACATGCGAATCTGTGGACAAAAGCAATCTCTTTGTGCTTATTGATGTGTGTCTGTAACTGTCACCACTGTCTAATCACTGAGCTTAGATAGTTACAAGTGGGTTTAATACTCTGTGAGATTACTCTCAGTTGGTCTGTCACATAGAATACATCCCCACCGAATTTTGATTGTTTTGATTGACGCTGATTAATTCAGTCCATGAGATGATGATGACAGACTGTTTGTCTTACCAAGTACACTATAATACAGTACACCTGTCGACTCAATTGACACTCGGAAGACATGGTTTATTTCGTGTGTATTCATGTTGTTACTGCGCTTGTCTCATTTACATTGATAGAGTCATTCACTGTATTGGAATGCTTTCATTCACAGTCGAATATTTCATTAAACTCAATGATATTAGCTAATGGAGTGATTACTTTACTATTCATCTTGTACGTCTAACGAAGGTTAATATTTTCGTCTGTTTTCAACTGTTGTTTGCGATTCTGTCACACATTTATTTATTGTCGTCAGTGAAAACTCACCTGGAACAATGTGAAAGTGTAATGGAGAATAACTTACACACTCGCATGTTAATGCTGCATCAAGAGAGACATAGGTGGTGGTTATTTAGTCAACGTGTCGAAGGATTGTCAATACAGAATCACATTACCATCTGGCTGTTATTAAAAGTACACTGTGTGACAAATTTTGTGTTGGGATGAAGCAATGGAGAGGACACACTCTGTGTATCCATGGGATCCATCACACTGGAATCATGTGCATATTTTGAATCTTGGTTGTGTAACACTTCGAGCATTGATACAATTAGGTTAATAAAATCAAAGCATCTACATTTTGTTTCACCAAGTAGTAAGATGTCTTCGTTATGAGCACTTTCGGTTTTCTCAGGTCGATGAACTTTCTGTAGTACCAGGTACACCTTCTCAGTACACTGACCTGAATCCTACTGTGTGTACACGGTAGTCACTTCCAGTCAGATTTCAGGCGGAATACTCACTATATATTTCCCTGTTCGTTAACGAATGTTTAAATATGCATATATTTGGACTCAGGATTCAATTATTCCCAGTGGTAACCACTTCATTAGCAATTTAAATCTAAACATTCACAAATTTACTGCTGGAATCCTAAGGCCAACCAATTGCATACGAATTAAGAAATCATGGATTTACTCAACATCATTATTCGTTGAGTATGAGAAGCAGTTATAGCAAGCAAGAAGGAAATACCAACGATTTGTCATCACATTAGATCAAATAGAATAGTCGCTAATGTTTCCTGGCTAAAATACATTCATGTATTAAACCTTGAACACCAAATACACACAGTACTGGTGTCCACATTAAAGCAGTTTTATTTCCTTATGCATGAATATTATAGTGGTTCAATTCGATTTTCATAAGCGATGTGTAAGTGACACCTTCATCAAACCTAGGGATGAAATTAATTTAGTTCACCGTAGTTGGGTGAGGTCATGTGGCATAGGCAAAGACCATACACCAAATGAATACTGAGACTTTTCTGAAACATGTCACAGAAACCAGTTCCTCAAGCAAGAATTCCAGTGTCTTGTCACGATAACATCTCGGGTCGAATGAAATTATTGAGGTGCACAGTACTAACCCAAGACGGTCATTTGACCATAATAAATTTTTCCACTTAATGTCCAGTGCTTGATATCATTAGAAATGCACAAATTGAATGAGATTTCAAGAGAGGCCATGGATACTGTGACCACATGACGATTACGACATTCTAAATGAAGCTATTATCTCTTCATATCATGTGCTACTATGTGAAGAATTCCGGTGTAAAGGTGAAGGAAAGAAAGACGTCATGTATGCAAAATAGTTTTTGTCCTGGTGAAAACTTCAACACTAAAATGAAAAAGTCAATGTTTTCGTATCTTCCATTTCATGTGTAAAATATCGTATACTACCTGCTAAAAATCAGTAGTATGAAGGCTTCCAGGAAATTAAGAATCGACGGTGACACCATCTGAGATAATGTTTCGTTTACAGATTATTGGTATTTGTAGCTGCCTTTCTGAATAAAGATTCTCATTTCATCTTCTATTATCCTCCACTCCATTACTTAAGGATCACCTACATAACAATAAAGCCAAACAGATATGATGTGAATGGTTTTATGTGAGGAAGAATCATTTACACTTCATGTTTTATTTGTATTCTAGGTTATAGTTATGAAATGAGATGGAATATTTTTGATTGTAGTTATTGTGGTGGATGCTTTAGTGGAAAAGTACGATGTGTTGGAGTGAATCACACGTTTGTAAGCTGGTACAAACGTACAGGAAAGTTACTCATACTTGACGTACGGAGTCGGATTTGATCCAGTAAGCAACTTGTCCATGGTGCGTGCTGCGTCTAAAGTAGTGGTCGGCTGATTAAATCCAATTCGCCTTTAATCAAATCGAATCTCTTCACACATATATATCTGAAGTAGAGGGAAGTGCTTCCCAAAGACTTTACGCCGTTGGTGAACTTCCTCAGAACTTGAGGGATTTATTTATTGACTACGTTAATGAAGTTATGGAACCTCGAAAAAGCGAGAAATTGATATTATTAAGCAAAGGACTGGATACAGAAACGACTGAAACTAATTTTCCAGCTGAATACGGGTTTTCAGCCCAGACAATCGACCTAACTCCTTCGTCCAAGTATGAGCATTAGGTGACCTCAAGAAGAACAGAAATATGATAACAACTAGACCTGATATAGGATCTGGTATAGTTATCATGAATAAGAGTGATTATGTAGACAAGATGAAGCTCTTTCTAAGCGACCATACGAAATTTCAAAAAGTGAGTAGCTGTAAAGACACAACTTAGGCGACCGAACGCCAAACAGCTAAGACACTAAAATCACGAGTTGAGAGTAATCTGATTCC